TATGCATTCGTAATCCAGTTCAGTCAGTCGGTAAGTTATAACGTACGACCAGGCACATATATGCATCGGTTCAAGTTGCCACACCTCATTAGAATAGCAAGATGAACATTAAATTCATACAAGTAGTTAATTCAATGATGGTGATATATAAAAGAAAGATTGCGTATAAGGATATAGTATAGGAAGAAAGATTTAGTACGTAGAAAGAAAAATATGAAATAATTTTAGTCTCATAGTTTAAGGGAAGACAGATAGCGTATACACCTACGCGCCATTATGATCGATTCTAATCCATGTCACTAAGAGTCTCCAACCATTGATTACAATATTTGCACGGACCCCAACTAAGTGGTCTGCATCTACCAACATGGCTCAGACCAGAAGTTGGTGACTTCGAGCACTGATGCCACGTTTTGGTTTGGCCGCCCCTAACTTTCTTCCAATCATCCCTAACACCAGTGAGCATTGCGCGTCGTGGTAATCGGTGTTCAGGCATACGCAACACGTGGCCCAACCATCTTAGTCGATGAAGACTCAAAACCTCATCAACTGGTTGACCATCATTCCCTGATACCCTGCGTCTAACCTCACTATTACTTACCCGGTGATCCCAGCAGATGGGAGCAATATTTCTAAGACATCTGTGGTCAAATATTGGTAGCTTACGAGTATCTTCGTAATCCAGTTATTATTTCTTATATCGTTTACCTTACGAGATTTGGCTTATTATCGTTTAGTTAACATATTCTTCTTCATCTGTAGAATGATTTCAATATACTGTAGTGGATGAGAACAACATTGATGACAACCAAATGTATTTGAACATAGAACTACAGAATGTCTTAGTAAATTCTAAGGACTATACAATAAATACTTCATTTGCAAAATGTCAATCGTTCGTCTTAGATTTCACTGTTCCTTCGGTTGCACTCTAATCATTCCCTATTGTCATTCTGTTTTCTTCCATCTTCTTAACCTGCCGTTTCCAAGCGTTTCACTTTAGATTGACGATACATACTAATTATATCTCTCGACATCAGTAGCACACATCACACCGTGACCCAATAAATATTAGGACGGAAATTAATTGTTTAACAACTTAGAATGGTTTCATATCATAAAATATTATCTAAGTAAGCATATCTTATGCCTAATGTCCATTAATCATTATATACTACTGTGGCGTGTGCTACTGATGTCGATAGATATACGTAATACGTATCATCAATCGAATGTGAAACGTTTGATGGCAGAAGGTTAAGAAGATTAAAGAAAAGAGAACCTGAACAAAGAATGATTGATATGGAAACGAAAGAACAATGAAGTCTGAGATGATTGATTGACATTTTCGCAAATGAAATGTTTATTATATTACTATCAGATTTTACTAAAATATTCTATAATTTTGCATTCCAATACATTCAATTGTCCTCATTTGTATTCTCATTCACAACACTACTTATATCTGTCGATATCAGTAGCACACACCACATTATGAATCACTAGGTTGGTTTTCTTGAGTTTCTTAGTGGGATTATGAGGTGTAAAACATTTTATAAATGATTTTAAGTACACTCAGTTTTTTGAAATGCAGTTCATGTATTAAAGCACTTATACATATATTCTAAATAGCGGCACTGAAATTCGTCGGTTTACTGACATTTACGATCAAAATCAATGAAATGCGATACAGTCATTTATATTTAGGTGGAAAAAAAATACAAAGAAACATATGTAATTCACCCAATTAAAACTCAAATTATTAGAACCGACAGGTTAAATAATTAGGGTATATGGAAAGAATAATGTACGTTGTTGTTGTTGTTGTTGTTGCTAAGTCAGTTATCGTGTATAGTGTATACCTTATATCTCATTCCATCTATATAAGTAAGTTCGTATGTAAAGATAATCGTTATTTAAGTTTTGTTTATACTTTCATACTTGAAAGTCCCTTGTTTTTATTAATAATCGTTTCATCTTTAGTTATTTCTTTGTATATTTGACTATTATCTTTACAATCTATAAATAAGCGCTAAAAAACAATGAATAATTGAAATGGAGAATTTACGACTGTAATAACATTCCCCCTGGATAAAGTATTAAGAAAAATAGATAAATAATTTAATGATTGAATTCATGAGTTAAATGAAGCAAGACAAGCATGTAAAACATGGAAGCACTGGACGACCGTTTCGTCCTATTGTGGAACTTCTCAGCAGTGAGCATCCATGATCCCGCCTCAAGAGATTCAAACCCAAGACTAGCGCACGAGAGCTTAACCGATAGACTACTGATCCGTTCGGTATCCGCCGGTGTTAATGGCTAACTTTCATGGATTGGTTGACGTTATTCAATAACACCGTTGTATGTAAGCTCAATAGTCTAACGGTCGTGTTTTTGTGCGTGACCTATAGGTCCTGAGTTCGAGTCTCACAAGGTGGAATCGTGCAGGTTTCTCATGTTAGTCTAGCTTCAGTTGACTTATAAATTCAACTATCAGATTACTATAATATTCACAAAAACCCTTCTTTAATTATAAATAATTTTTAAATACTTTATAGAAAAAGTCATTTTTTTTCCTAACTACTGAATTCTGCAGTTGTTCTCATTCATAAGATCTTCAGAAAGATAGATACTTCTTGACATTATATATAGATTATCATTCAGTACACAGCATGAAGAAATATTAATCATTTTTTTAGAAAGTATCAAGATATGTTGATTATTTCAAATGCGCAATTTTGTTTTTTATCTACATTTAATCAACAATGTAATTGTTTATTCCTGTTAACTTTGTCGGGGAGAATGAAATAGATTTGATGTGAATGTCATTCTTTTATGATTTTCTTGTTATAGCTCGTGGCCTTATGCCCCTATCGATTTATATATAACGTAACGAAATCCCCAATTAGAGAACAGTGAATTATTGACCGAACCAATGACACATAAAACTCGTACGAACAGTCCAGAGTCCTTATCGGTCCTGCTTCCTATCTAGTTCCGGCTGTTACATCTAGAACACCAATCTTACCCTCTGCAATATGAACCATGTATTCCAAACATACTGGGTTTATATACAAATCAAACAAACCACATTGCATCATGAAATAGAAAATAACATTTGTAGAAGAGCTAGCTAAAAGTGGCTGTGAATGTGAGAGATAGTAATTGATAGATTGGGTATAACTCAAGAACGGTAAATCGTATAATAATAGTCTATGGGTCAAAATAAAGTTTATAATAAGAGTAACCTGAATATACAGATAGTTTATCTACTTAATAATTATACAATAAAAGTTTATATATCGTAGTGATCCATGAATAGTTCCTAAAAGTTACCATTCATAATTCTCGTCGAGATATAACACTTGTAAAACCAAATAAGTCTACCAAACATCTCTTTCGATTTAATCCAATATCCTGAGTCATATGGTTGATACACTTTGAAAATTGAGTTAAAATATGATGGTGAACATTTCTAAACTCATTCACTTTGTAATATTGTATAACAGGATGTTAATGAGATGTTAATTCCAACTTGACAAAACTATTTTATTTCTCTAGTAATGAAATCTAACATGGAATTGACCATTCTGATAACTGGGATATCCTATGAATACCCATTTCATTTTCTAAAACTTGCCCTATATAACTTCAAAGTATAAGTAATTACTTAGTCAGAAATCAGTTCAATCTTATTACATTGTCTATAATTAACTCTTATCGACTCCATCTAATTATTGTTATGTCATACTAACATTTAATTACCGTCAACTTGTTATATGATACTATACAGAAAAGTAAAATGATTTCAATGCAAATAAAACATACTTGTCATTTTTTAAGCCAAAAATGAATAGTGGCTAACAGTGAAATCCAGTTTGACGCATGTCTTTGCTACGTTTGAAGCTATCACGAGTTCACTTAATCTGCGAACGAGAAGAAGACTTGGTGACCAAGACTAGTAAGCTAGCTATTGATGCATCCCAGCCCCGCTATCTAGAGGGAGAAGTCCAACCTTGGAATGGGAGTATATTCTGCAACAGCCAGAAAACAAGCGATCTCAAGTAACACAATTTTAAAATATGTATATACAAATATATATGCATCGATATTGCCATGGAGCTTTTAAACATTTAATCGACAAGTTCGTCAATCGACTATGTGCGTGGGTGGTAAGAAATGCCCACGTATATATATGCATACAAGCTCCACTAGATAAAATTACAACTATGAAATTTGGGGGATCTGTCATCCCCAACAGTTTCGTCTCATTTGGGACTCGTCAACTGGAGTTGATGTTCCACTGTTAACTACTATTCATCTTTCCTTAAAAAGCTTATAACTTAAGGTTATATTGAGGCAATCTACACAGGATGCATATATGCCAACATGAAATTGATCAATTACAGTTCTTAATAACAATGAGAAGATACAAGTAAAATGACATATAGTCAATAGATGGTGGTTGGAAGTAGTCGACAGGAAACCCTGGACCCCGGTTTCGTGCTACTTGGCACTCGTCAACAAGCTGTACTTGTAATCTTGAGGGAACTGATGCTCCCTGATGGATTCAATCCCGTATCACCCAGCTTCACAGTCAGAGACGTTACCACTGAGTGACACGGAATCAAATTTGTCAGGGAGCACCAGTTCCCTCACGATTACAGGTACACCTTGCTGACGAGTGCCAAGTAGCACGAAACCTAGATCGTCAGGGTTTCCTGTCGACTACCTCCAACCACCATGTAACCTCAACATAATGCACGCAATGTCGAGTCACCTAGACTAGTGGGCATATTGCAACTTGGTCGATAGCATTTGATCTGTACTAAGAAGGACTTGACACACATGACATTGATCATCACCCAGTGATCAATCAATCATAATAATATCAAGTGAATAGTTATTATTTATAATTTTTCTTTTTTATTATATCAATACATATTACTGAATAAAACAAATTGAAAATAAACATAATTTATAAATTCATTCAAATATTAAACAATATTTTGATTCCAATTTTCTGTTGGTTTTTCATTACAATAAATACATTTAATATTATTACTTTCTACAATATGACCAGTTGTTTTAGTTTCTATAATTGATTTCATTAATTTAGGATCATTTACAATATCATATGTTCTTACAATATGTAGGAAGACAGGTGAATCTGGATTAGGTTGATGATGTTGATGTTGATCTTGATGTTGATGTTCATGTTGATGTTGATGTTCATGTTGATGTTGATGTTGATGTTGATCTTGATGTTGATGTTGATAATGCATATGATTTTGATGTTGAGTATAAGGATAAGGATAATTTAATAATAATGAATCAGTAATATTAGAATTATTATTACATTCTATACAATAATCTTGAGGTAAATGTATTTGTACAGGTTGTTCAATATGTGTTTGAGTTACCATGACATCATTTATCGATGTATCATTATTATTATTATTATTATTATTATTATTATTATTATTATTATTGTTATTACATAATAATGGATAATTTTGACTTTTTTCTAATTCCATATCATATGATTTCATTTTATTTTGTTTATATTTTGAATTTCGTTTAACTTCAATTTGATTATGAACTGTGAATATAAAAAAATAAAAATAAAGCATGAAACTTCAGTAATCAGTATACATTTAATAGACTATTAATATTTATAAAGATTTAGATAAAGTACTAGTGTGGTATGTGTGTTACTTATATCAATATAAGTAGTATATAGTACTGTGATTTGTACTACTTATGTAGACATAAGTAGTATATCATGTTAGTTGTGAACAGAATGTCTGGTAGCAGAGAGACGAGAAGATCGAACAGTAAAGAATGAAAACATAATGCAATTTGTATGAAAATGCAAGAACACAGGAAGTCTGAGTCATTTTGAGACAATTGATGGACATTTTGCAAATCAAGCATTTACGATATGATTGTTAGATTTTATTAACAAGTTCTGTAATTTGTTGTCAAACACATTCGATTGTCTCAAACCTGTTCGTGTTCACTACGATACTACTCAGATATAGAATGTCTATCAGCAGACAGTCAATAAGAACATGAAGGAAAGAATGGGATCAGAATGTGGTTGATATGAAAATGCAGGGACAATGAATTTGTTAGGACTTGTGACCTGTGCGCCCTGATAATGTATAACGTAACGATACTGCCTATTAGAGAGCTGTGAATTATTGATCGAATCAATCACGCATAAACACCAGTGCGAGCAATCTAGAGATTTTACCGGTCCTGTTTCCTGCCTAGCCCAGCCAGTTAAGTCCAGAACACCAATATCAGACTCTTTGATATGAATCATTTATTTCAAACATACTGGGTTTATATACAAATCAAACAGACCACATTGTACCATAAAATAGGAAACAACATTTGTACAAGATTTAGCCAAATGTGGCTATGAATGTGGGAGGCAGTGAATAATAGACAGGAACTAATTCAAGAATGGTAAAACGTATAACAATCATTCATAAGTCAAAATAAAGCTCATAATAATAGGGACATGAATATGCATAGAGTAGCTACTTAACAACTATACGATAAAATATACACATAGTATTGGTCCATAAATGAATCCCAAAAGTTACTATTGATTATGCTTATCGGGAGACAACAGAATTTTGAGACGATTGACCGATATTTGCAAGAAGGAACAGTCACGTTTGAGACAACTGATTGACATTTTGCTAATGAAGTATTTACTGTATAGTCCTCAGATCACACTAAGATGTTCTGCAATTTTGTGTTCAAATGAATTTGTTTGTCTCTACTTGTGTTCTCGTTCACTACACTAAGATAATGATTATCTTCTTATTTGACTAAAAGAATTTATCAAAGGGACTAATCGTTTTAAATTTATTACTCGATCTTCCTTTAACTAATTCTTATTTTCAGAAGGGATTGTGTGGAGATTTTAGAAATTTCACTGGTTGAAATCATGAATCCATTGAAGCTAGACCACCATGGAAAACCTGGAAGCACTGGACGGCCGTTTCGTCCTAGTATGGGACTCCTCAGCAGTGCGCATCCACGATCCCGCTCCTCGCGAGATTCGAACCAAGGACCTATCAGTCTCGCGCCAGGCGCTTAACCAACTAGACCACTGAGCCGGCATCCAACGGTGTTAATGTCTAATTTCAACCAATCCACGAAGTTGCGCCACCGTACACCATTGTCTTCAGTGAGCTGATATCTCACAACAGACCTGGTTGAACTCCACTGGTAACGGCTTCTCACTAGAACTTCAGGAGTATCTATTTTGAAGTCAGTCACTAGTGAGCAGATGATTATTATTATTATCAGAAGGGATTGTGTGGAGATTTTAGAAATTTCACTGGTTGAAATCATGAATCCATTGAAGCTAGACCACCATGGAAAACCTGGAAGCACTGGACGGCCGTTTCGTCCTAGTATGGGACTCCTCAGCAGTGCGCATCCATCATGTACATCCATGTACATCAAAACCATCCATTCACTCATATGTTTTCCTTCACTTAATTCTCTTAACTTATGCAAACTCTTCATATCCTGTCTCATTACTACGTAACCCACTTTATCGATCTCTAATCTCAGTAATCTTATGTAAAGCCTTCACAATCTCCATAATTATCACACAATATACCTTAACTGTCTCCAGACCTCATTCAATTATTTCATCACTCATCCGGCATGCTTTTCAATTATATATATATAATACTTATTGATAACCTTTGTCATTCTAATTTTCTTCGTTCATCTATGTCAATTGTTTCATATTCTATCTTACCTCAATGTTAACTTTCAATTCATTTATGGCAGTAAGTAGCTGAAGAGAAACCACGATATTTAATGAATTCATATTATTCTGTCTCTGTTGTTGTTTTAATTTCATTCAAATTCATAAAGGGTTTTCACTTGCATGAAATTCCTGAAGAAATATTTCTCTCAAGATTACATGCACATTCTGCTGATCTATGCTAAATAGCCTATAATCTATGTCAAGCAGGGTTTAAAGTTGACTATCAAATAACGTAACTAGGTGGGAAATCTTAGATGATCGTTACTTGGTTTTAAATGACTAAGATGATATAGTATGAATTTATATAGCGTAATTTATCTAAGCAATATGATTGGTCAGTCAGTTAAACATAATTTATCAAAAGCTTCTGGTTACTGATTAGATTTTGTCAGAAAACCGGTAAAAACTGTAAAGAACTGGATATAGGTTTCATTTCAATATAGTGAATAGTTAAATTATTGATGTATTTAGTTTATTGATATCTATTAGTCATCCGTATAAGGCGTTAGTTGAAATTAATTGATAGGAAATCCTGGACTTACGTTTCGTGTAATTTAACACGAATAAAAATACAGCTATAGCTTTTAGAAGAGTCCAAAATAGTGAGAAACTTAGGTTTAGGGTTACCTGTCAACTACCTATCACCTTACATCAATATAGTGCACATATAACATCAAGGTACATAGATTACTAGCTTCATTGCATCTTGTCCAATAAAATTCGATCAACATTAAAAAGAACTAAAAATTTATAACATTTTTTCCCTATTCAGTGATCAATCAATCGTAAGCTAGTTATCGGTTTATGGTATCAGACGTTTACAAAGTATTTACCTTTAGATCAATATCATATGTATTTCGTTTTAATAACGAAATTGGTACTTATATACAGTAACGAGATTTACAAACAATCCTCTTATGTTAACGAGAAATAAATACACTTGTAAAGAATCCCCTAAATTTTAGTTAGAAACCATCATTGGTGGATTTACAGTTTTGTCAAGAACGAGGCTTACTGATGTTTAATTATTTAAATGACGTTCATGTTACGGTGAATTTTTATTTACTTGATATTACGTTTAACTAAGAATCTCATGAAGTCCTTCTACTGTAGTGTTAAACAAACTATATTCCCATAATCTACAATTGAAGAACATATGGAATTCAAAACAACTGTCTACAAACCAATATTAAAGTCTGTTATAACGTGAGATCCCCCTATTAGAGAGCAGCCTATTATCGATCGAAACAGTGACGCATAAAATACGTGTGAGCAGCCTAGAGTTCTGATTGGCCCTGCTTCCCTGTCTAGCCCCACCAGTTGAGTCCAGAACACAAGTCTCAGCCTCGGTGATATGAATCATTATATTTCAAACATACTCTGTTTATATAGCAATCAAACAGACTACATCGTACCATAAATAGAAAGTAACATTTGTACAAGATTTACCCTTCAGGAAACGACACAAATAAATATTGACCAATAGGGAAATGACACGTTGGAAGAATGTTGACCAATGGGGCAATGACGCTATTTCTCATTCAGGAATAGCACTAGATAATTTCTGGGGTATTTTATGAATACCCCGACAAAGTCACAATCTTCAATAAGAACATCAAGACAATTCTACTGTATGGAGCTGGAACTTACAAAACTACTACAAACATCATCAAAATGGTACAAGTATTTATAAATAGCTGTCTACACAAGATACTTAACATCTATTGGTCGGATACCATCAGCGACAGTGTACTGTGAGAGAGGAGAAACCAGCTTCCAACTGAAGAGGAAATTAGGAAAAGACGATAGAAATGGATAGGACAAACATTACGCAAATCACCAAACTACATCACGAGGCAATCGCTTACCTGGAATCCTGAAGGGAAACGGAAAGGAGGAAGGCTAAAGAACACATTACGTCAGAAACTAGAATCAGATATGAATAAGAACTAGAAAAAACTGGAAAGGATTGGTTGGGACAGGGTTGGATGGAGAATACTATTGGGTGGCCTATACTCCTCCACGAGGATTAATAGGCGTAAGTAAGTAATATTCCGATAATGAATCTCTCATCACTATAATATTAATAAAACATTTTAGTGAATTTTTAAAAATGCTGATCATCGTTATATAACAAAATTATTTTAATTACAAATGAGTTGGATCATAATGATAATTATCTACTGTATTCGGATAATTTTGAGTTAAAATGAGCGGAAGAAGTAACAGACTATGACGTAATCTAATGGTAGGAACATGTACAAAATGTTATGACTACGGTAGATGCAATAAAAAAAATCATGGTTATAGTCGGTCTTTTGTTTGGTATGTTTATCTACAAATTGTACTTGTTTGAATGAGGGAATTAATTGTAACTATTTTTCACCCATGAATTAAAGAGTATTATGCATTAATTACTCAATTACTTACTTACTCCTGTTACCTATCGTCGAGGAGAATAGGCCGCACATAACCATTTTTCATACAACGCCGTCCTAAACAATCCTTTCCAGTTGTTTCCAGTTGCTATTCATCTTTTTCGTGTCTCCTTCCGATCCACGATGATGTGTGTTTTTTGGCCTTGAACTTTTTAGTTTCCCTTCAGGATTGCAAGTTAGTGATTGCCTCGTGATGCAGTTTGATGATTTCCACAGTGTATGTCCTATCCACCTCCAGTGTTATTTCCTGATTTCTTCTTCATCTGGAAGCTGGTTTTTTTCTGTCACAGTAAGCTGCTGCTGATAGTATCCGGCCACCGATATTGCGTATCTTGTGTAGACAATTGTTTATAAATA